AGAAGCTATATCATATAAAAATGCTATATATCAACATGAAATAATACATGTACGTCAATGATATACAGAAGAACATAAAAATTGGATGATTATTAATGCTAAAAATAATAAATGTTTTATTTGGGATAAAATATTACAAGAAACATCAAATGTAACAAAAAAAAATTCAAAATTATCTTGAAAAAAAATCATTAAATAAAGCAGCTAGTATTTCTGATTTATGTATTTCACCACAAGAATTAATAAATCGTTTGGGAGAATATGAACATTATTGTCCAGTATCATTAACATTACGTAATGAACTTGTTGATTGTTCAGCTACAACAAGAACTGATTATGTTGCCGAATATCGAGGTAAATAGAAATATTCTTTGAAGAAAAACAAGAAATACTTGATAAACTCCATCTAGTCAATGCTCGAAACACTTGTACATAAAAACAGTGATATATCTACTGGGTGGGCGTCGCCCACTCGGGAAACGAAACCTAGATAAAACACTGAACATTGCATTATTGATGTTAAATTATTTTTAATAGCTATGAACTTATAAAACATAAATAAATTTTTTGTTTTTGTATAGGACGATATTATCGTATGGCTGGACCAAAAGAACTTCAACAATTTTTGGATGATCCAGAACGTTTTGCTCCAATTGAACCTCGTAAAATATTACCAGCACCAAATCGTCGACCACATCGACAAACTGAAGCAGAAACAAAAGCAATGTTTCCAAAACCTATTGAATTTGCTAGTTATTGACCAGTAACATATCTTGATGGTGGTAAAAGGTAAATATTTTTTTTTATTTTTGTATAAAAATTTATTTTTATCATTTTTAGATATGAATGTCTTGTACTTGGACAACAAGAATTTGCTGTTGAATATCGTGATAAATTATATTTTCTATTAAATGAAGGAGCACCAGAAAAATTTATGAGGTTTTTAGTTTTTTTTTTTTATTTATCAAATTTTCAGTGTTTTTTTGTTTTTCTTTTGTATTAGACAACTAGAAAAATATTGGAATATTCGATTACCAAATAAACTTCCTCCACCAA